AATGGTTGTGTTGAAATCCATGTCGTTTTATGTAAAGTTTAATTTTATGATTTTAATGTGACATTAGTACTGAGTCCTTTTTTATTCATTAATTTGAATATGTTATTTAATTAATCTTATTAATCAATTATTTTTTTTAGAGACTATTTAATAAACTAATAAATTTTGAAGAGATTATGCTAGAAATATTCTTTTAGAGGAGTATTATTGAGAACATGAGTTGGAGTTGTTAATACCGTTGAAACTGTATAACTAGTGAGATTTTTACGTAGAAACTCTAGAAAATGAAGGACGAGGTTGAACTTTGGAGAAACTCTACTGTATGTAATGGGTTGTATTGAAATGGGCCGAGAATAAGATTTTTTAAAAAAATCTTATACTCAGCCCACTAAGTCATTCAAGAGATCCAATTTCGAAAGCCCATTAACATATGACGGAATCTCCAGAGACATCTTTAACCAGAAAACTCACGCTCGTCCCTGTAATTCTCAATCAGACTTCCATCCATACGGCGCCGTTTAGCTCACAGCCTCCATTGGCATAGAATAAATTGACAGGACAACACAACTGCCTCTGAAATTCTTTTCCTCAGTTCATCACGCAAGCACACACCGCGAGTGGACTCTAGGGTTTATCCACTCGGGCTGAAAAAAAAAATAAAAATAAAAATCAAAGCAATGAGCATATGGAATTACGTGGTGACGGCTCACAAGCCGACCAACGTTACTCATTCCTGCGTCGGCAATTTCACCGCCCCGCACGAGCTCAATCTCATCGTCGCGTAAGTTTACAGTATCTGTGCGGTTATGGGTTCCGATTTGTTCCTGCAAATGATATGGGTGCTGTTGCTATGGAGCTTCAGTGTATTGAGATTTGCGTTTGTGATTTCTGGGTGTCTAATTGTTTTGGTTTTCTCGTGGTTGTCGTGAACTTGCAGGAAATGCACCAGAATAGAGATTCATTTGCTCACACCTCAAGGTTTACAGGTAAAGCACTCACGGCTAGATTAAACTTTTATTATGAATATGGTCTACATGCTAATGTTGTAATTCATCGATTGTCAATTTCAAGAGCTTGATGCTTCTCGACATTTTATATGGGGTTCACACTATCCTTTTATGTTTTTATTTTGCTCAAAAGTATTGGAATAACTTGTTAAGCTATGGATTATTACTGTTTCATGTCTAGTTTGGGATAAGAGTCTGAAAAGCCTATAACGGGGTAATGTTGGAGTTTATCCTATTGTGGTAGCTGAATTTCCAAATGAATTTTTTGTGATGAGTTTAGTTGAATCCTATTTCTAATTTACGGTATGTTTTGCAGCCTATGTTGGATGTCCCAATATATGGTAGAATTGCAACACTTGAGCTTTTTCGTCCACACGTGAGTGTTACAAATATATTTAGTCTGATTTATTTTGCCTTAATTTACCTTGTCTAATGTAGAAACATATTATATGTTGATCTTTGATTCACTTGACAGGGGGAAACTCAAGATCTCCTTTTTATGGCTACAGAAAGATACAAATTCTGTGTTCTGCAATGGGATGCTGAAAATGCTGAGGTCATTACAAGGTGACACTAGTTTTTATTGAAGTTTCGGACGATTACTTCTTAGCATTTCATATTTTCTGCTGATTTGTTGTCACTAAAGTTTTAATACGTCTTTAAACTCATTCATGGTATCCTGTGGATGCCTTAAACTCCCAAGTGGGTGATGACCACAACTATTTTGCACTCAATTAGATACTTGGCGCAATCCAAATTAATTATAGGACTAGCCTTTATATTATAAGTAACTGTTGTGTTCATTGTAGCTGTTGTTTTCACAATTTAATGCTTCGTTATTTTAGAAGGTCTTTATTCTGTTTTTGTTGGGGGTGGTTTACACCATTGAAATAGGGCAATGGGGGATGTTTCAGATCGAATTGGTCGTCCTACGGACAGTGGACAGGTAATTTAGTTTGTGCTGGGAACTTCCAAGTGTTCATGTTTGAAAGTTATCTAGTCTTTGACATGCTTCCTACTCTCCTCGTAGATTGGCATAGTTGACCCAGATTGCAGATTGATTGGACTTCACCTATATGATGGATTATTCAAGGTATTGCCCTCATGTGGATCTCTCTCTCAATCTCCTGTCTCCACACCCCTAGTCTTTATGAGCATATTTCTTGTTTTCAGGTCATTCCATTTGATAACAAAGGCCAGCTCAAGGAAGCATTTAATATTAGGTACTTTTTCCACTTGACAAACTCAAGTAATCACCCATGCTGGAAGTAAAATGCCTTCTTACTCTGATATAATTGGTTCTATGACTTGGACATCATTTGTTGTCTGATCTATCACTAGACATACCTGTTCATTTTTTGGTTTTATTTAAATTTAAAGTCATGGTCTTCTTACCTTACATTGAATAAAAAAGGCAGGCATACATTAGACGTATTTATTGTGTAGTCGGCTTCCGAGGGAGCATCTTTGATATGCAATTGTTCCATTCTTGTCTGGTCCGTCAATATTTATCTTCTAGATGTAAGTTGAAAAAAGAAAAAAAAACATTTTCATCTCGTTTTACCCTTTTTCTCCAGAATCCCACTAACAACAATTCAAAAAAAAAAATAAAATAAAAATAAAAAAAATCAAACATTAATATATATTTTCTAGCAAAAGCACTATTCACAGCTCATATATTTCTAACTACCAATCACTATCAATCAACATTTTATTATTTCTATATCACATCAACTCTAATCATTACGTGTTTTATCTCATATCCATTCACAATCTCAAAATTTTCTCAAATATTTCCACATCTCTATTTTCTGACTAGACATTTTTTTTTTAAAAAAAATACATATCCAATCATGCCAATATCCTATCCAACTTATATGTTATCTGATTTGTTGATCCTTTAACTTACATTAGCTAATTTGTAATTTCTTCAGGCTGGAGGAGCTTCAGGTTCTGGATATCAAGTTTTTGTATGGTTGCCCCAAGCCAACCATTGTTGTACTTTACCAGGTTTGA